TTTGACAAATAAACGCAGCAAATTATATCAAAAATAAAGACGACATTCAGGTCGTCCTGCATATTGTCATGTTTCGTGGGACACCCTGTATTTACAAGGAAAAGACAAAAAAGACAAAAACTAAATTTTTGAAAACTATTAATTTTATCAAAATATATTAGTTTACATAATTTTTGCCTTTAGTGCAAAAAATGAAATCTTTCTAATTAGCTCTGCTTTCAGTCAATCGTTTAAAAAAGATAATTTTGTCCAAACATTTGTCAAACCTTACGTGACCAGAGGCCGAATTTAAAGAATTTAAGCCGCGGTTTAAATTTAAGCCGCGGCTTAATTATGGTTGGTTTCACTTAAAATTGTATCAAATGTTTCAAGATTTAAGCTGGCGCTCAATTTAAACCGGGTTTTGGCGGAATTAAGCCGCGACTTAAATTCTTTAAATTCGGCCTCCGGCCTATAATTTAAAAATAACACAGATAAAAGTTTTAACTTTTAAAATTTTGAAAATTAATTAAATAATCTTAGTGCTAGAAATATTGTTCTAAATTTGAAAATACGAAAATGTAAGAAACATTTAAATTTTAAAAAGTAAAATAGCAAAGAATGTTATATTTCGTTTTATATACATATAAAATAGTTGATATTGAGTTTTCAATATATTTCAAGTATTTGAAAATATTTCAAAGTTTGTCCAACAACATTAAACTCTGCTGTGTACTGGATCACTTTCCAAGAATATCAAGAATTTTAAATTTATTTGATATTTTTAATTTGGTGGTGGTTTTGTACGACGAAATGTTTTACACACTTTAATTAGAGATCCGAGCATGATAAACATAGAGAATAGAATATATATTAGAGGGGAATTTACTAGAAAAAAAGTGTAAAACGGCCATTTTGTTGTACTGTTTCCATACTGCAGGTGTACTTCACATATTTATGCTATATAACCTGTTGGGCCCTGGAATATCATTTTATAGAAAATCTAAAATTATTGTTAAAAGAAAACCAAATTATGAAATAGGCTGGTTTCATAATTGACCAATGACCATTTCACATAGACTCCATGCCTTCCACTTTACAAACGATGATTTTCCGTTATAACTATAAATCAAATGATGTTGTTTATTCACCTAATTCATTATAAAGTTTATTTAACAGTTTAAAAAATTCGAAATTGAAATGACTAGTCTAGGGAACATCCTGTATTAATGTACTCTACTGCATATAATTTGTGAACATTTACATGATTTGTACACTTTGAACTCCCTTTCAGACTGAAAGGGACTGGAAAAATTCATACCGAGAGATTCTTTAAATTCCCATCTAATATATATTCTATTCTCTATGATGATAAATACATTTAGAAACAATTAAATAAAAGACGCATGAAAATAGTATTTTTTTTAACATTTATGCCATTACCTTCATAATATGAAAATAAAAAGCTATGGGTTAACCAACAGAATAAAAAACGTTTAGTTTAAATCATTGATTTCATTTGAAAGAATCAATTTTTAAGGGAAAAATTGTTAATTTATGAAATAAACATGAATTAGTTCCGCTTATGCAAGGAAAAAACATTCAGTATCAAACAAATTAAAAATGCACTAGCATTCCCAGAAACCAGAGCTTTTGCGTGTACTATTTTCCTTGGCTAATTGATCTCGATATCCGATGTGGACACTTTTAAATTTGAGGATAAATGCGCGATCCCTTAATTCAAGTTATCCCCCCGGAGGGTATGACCACCACAGGATAACTATAAAGAACAATTAAATTGATTTCGAGATTTACAACAACAGAATTCTGACTTTTGAAATAGACACTTGCTGCATTAACCAGTTATTCAAATTTTATTTTCTTAGAGGGAGTGTTCTCAAAAAATGAAAGGGGATATTGGCTAATATTGAATTGAATTCAATATCGATCGCTACTAATTTGACTAATATTTGTTGCGTATATAAGAAAATGGTTACACGGGTACGTCTTATACAGTTATATTCAAATATTCAAATCGATATCAGCCTATACCCCTATCATTTTTCGCGAACACTCCCTTTCACAAAACGACATGTTTATAATGATTGGGATGATTTTATGAAAAACATAAGATTAAACGAAATTAATAGTATACAGCTACTCACATTACGATCGTAAAAACATAAATTGTCAAAACACTGACAAAATAAATCTTAATTGAATAATACTACACTGAAACATGAGAGTAGAAATATTGTGCGGATTTGGTTAATCTTGAATGCTTGATCTCGATATCCAATGTAAGTATTTTTAAACTACGAGATAGCCAAGAAGAATTAGATGAATCCGTGATGTCCAAAAGATAGAGATCAATGCAATTGATCCTGAAATTCACAACATAAAAAAATATTAGACATCTCCAATAAAAATTACATACCAAAATCATTAAATTCTCATTTTTTCATTGAAAAAAAAACCACGCAATAGAACTGAGTTTTTGCCACAAACTCAAATTTTCTAAATTGTATAACTTTGCAAGATGGCGTAAACCTTTCATATTTCAAATTCATACTATTCGAACAGAGTTCATAGACAATAGTTTGAAATATCAAAGGTCTACAACTCAGGTTGCAGAGAAAGGGATGATAAAATCAGAGTTCGTGTCCAGAACTCGGTGATCCCTTTCTGAAATGTTCCGACAGTAATATAAATATGAAAATAGTTTCCAAAATAAACTCTTCTAGATATACGTTTAACAGTTATTTAAACAGCTGTTTTAGAATAAATATTTTCATTTATTATTTTGTTTTATAAGTATAATATGCTGACTGAAACCTGAACCATGTTATCTAGTTTAAGATGCGGATGTAAGTGCATAAACATGTAATATTGCTACTTTATAGCTGGGATAATTTATTATAGCACAGGGGTCTTCTTACAATACTTTCAAACTCCAGGATCTGACATTTTTAAGATATTGTTCAAGGGGGTCTAAAATGCATAAATAATAGAAAGGCACTTTTTTGCAAAGTTGTATGAATCTAAATCATAACGCCTAATACTTATATTTTATAAATTTAATTTTTCCTTCAAATCAAAATTATAAATATTATTGATAACTTAAATTGACTTAAATGATTGTTCGTGACAAATTAAACAAGGTTGAAAGACCATGGATTTGAATAGAATAGCAAATTTTTCTTTAAGGAGAATTTTTTTAAAGACCTATAATTAGCTTTATTTTTATACATACTGTTCAAACAAGCACTAAGTTCTGCTTCACAATATTTTTTTACTCTACTTGTTTAACAAGTTAAATTAGATGTTTAGCGTTTTAGGTTAACCAATTTCTTTGTTGAAATAATTTTTGCAATGTTTCTCTTTAGGGGAGAACAAGAAAAAGCAAAGGTGAAAATTCTTCGGTTGCAATTTAAAATTAAAACAGATTTTCTTACCCACTTCTCTCTTATTTTTTTACAAGATCATATGTCCAGGGGCGCAACTAGCACTTTGGGAGGGGAGGGCGCGAAATATTATTTTTCGACATTAATAAATGAAAGTGCTGTTTTAAGGGTTCACAAACCCAGAGAAGGTTTGGCTCTGTACTCAATATATACATATTTCTTATTATAACCTATGGCTTTTCTTTTGTTTTACAAAAATCAAACTTTCAACAGCTTTAAAATGAACACAATGAGTCAATTCGTTGAAAAATGTACAAAAAATGTCTATTCCTCTAAAATTGTCTTTTTATGTTTCTTCGTTTCTGTTAGTTCCTGGCTTAGCTATGTTCACTACAGGTATAAAGTCCCCTATTATTGTCTGCAGCAGTTTTTTTAAATTTACCCACTAGTGCTTTTTGTAATTTATCCACTAGTCCTTTTTGTAATTTATCCACTAGTCCTTTTTGTAATTTATCCACTAATTTATCCACTAGTCCTTTTTGTAATTTATCCACTAGTCTTTTTTGTAATTTAGCCACTAGTCCTTTTTGTAATTTATCCACTAGTCCTTTTTGTAATTTATCCACTAGTTCTTTTTGTAATTTATCCACTGTCCTTTTTGTAATTTATCCACTAGTCCTTTATGTAATTTATCCACTAGTTCTTTTTGTAATTTATCCACTAGTCTTTTTTGTAATTTAGCCACTAGTCCTTTTAGTAATTCATCCACTAGTCCTATTTGTAATTTATCCACTAGTCCTTTTTTGTAATTTATCCACTAGTCCTTTTTGTAATTTATCCACTAGTTCTTTTAGTAATTCATCCACTAGTCCTATTTGTAATTTATCCACTAGTCCTTTTTGCAATTTATCCACTAGTCCTTTTTGTAATTTATCCACTAGTCCTTTTTGTAATTCATCCACTAGTTCTTTTTGTAATTTATCCACTAGTCCTTTTTGTAATTTATTCACTAGTCCTTTTTGTAATTCATCCACTAGTCCTATTTGTAATTTATCCACTAGTCCCTTTTGTAATTTATCCACTAGTTCTTTTTGTAATTTATCCACTAGTCCTTTTTGTAATTCATCCACTAGTCCTATTTGTAATTTATCCACTAGTCCTTTTTGTAATTCATCCACTAGTCCTTTTTGTAATTTATCCACTAGTCCTTTTTGTAATTTATCCACTAGTCCTTTTTGTAATTTATCCACTAGTCCTTTTTGTAATTTATCCACTAGTCCTATTTGTACACTAGTTTTAAAAACAATGCTCATCCTTAGTTGTATTAAGTTGAATAATTATGTCATATTATACTGCTGTCACCCCGGACTAACCAGAGTGAGCAGCATTCGGTTTCTTCTATTTGAAATCCAAAGTGTTTTGGTCTTAAATTCAACAATATATTAACTGAAGGATTTGATTAAATTCTATTGCATTCAAAATGTATATTCAGACAAAAAGTGCTCAAGAAAAAAGGCTAAAAAATTATAATTAATGGGTCAAATTGTGATCGAAAGTCACAGCTTTCTGGAATATATCGACTAAACCGTTAAATCCACGTGAGGTTGATGCATTATAAAAGAACCTATTAAAATTTTATTATCAAAGACAACTAATACATCAAAAATAGGTTTAAATTAAGTAATGATTTCATTTATAATGTTTTCTAGATTGAGGGGAATGTGTTGGTTGCAGGGTACTATCTCGTTATCACGACCAATCTACAAAATAGAAATATTTTATCTTACTTGGAAACTTTTAATTTTACAGATTAAGTTAAACTCGCGCTAACTCGCAAAATACAAAAATGCCTGCAGTGGAAAATGACGTTTATCATTAATAACTGAGATGTTAGGTACTTTAATAACTGAGATGTTAGGTACTTCAATAACTGAGATGTTAGGTACTTTAATAACTGAGATGTTAGGTACTTTAATAACTGAGATGTTAGGTACTTCCCAAAAGGAATTTTCCCAAGTTGGAACTTCCCAAAAATATTTTCCCATGCCGCAACTTCCCAAGTCTGTCCTAGCCGCAGCATTCGACGCCTTAGTCTGTTCTAGCCGTAGCGCTTAGCCCCCTATTGCAGCCCGCAGCGCCTTAGAAGGCATAACCAAATCTTTGAGAAATTGCCGCTTGGGAAATTGCACATTTGGGAAGTTTCCACTTGGGAAATTGTCACTTGGAAAATGCTTTTGAGACAATACCTAACACCATCACTGATACTTTTGTTCTCTTAACTCAATTCCAGATTCAGATTTTGAGGTTTCGGGATTGGCTTTTCATTATGGATAGAAAGCTTACACATTGAAATGTACCTGAATGAACACATGTTTTGCCAGTACAGAGATGCTCGTGGATTCACAAATAATGGAAGCTAGGCTTCTCTGTTTTATTTCTTCAAGGGCAGAACCTACAGGTAAATATTACAGTCGTCGTGTCGTCGTATATATAAATATAATGAAGACGCTCTCGGAGTGTCAATTATTGTAAAAAACAAAATTTTTAATATTTTAAATTTCACGACAAACTGTTTACAATTTTTAAAAATCGTCTCTAGCACGGTAGAACCTTAACCATGGGAATATAGAAGCCTAACTTGTTCTAATAAGCTAGCCTTGACAAATTGGACTTTGAACAATGTACATGTATATTGCATGTTTACTCTATAGCCTTTTTCTAGGAGAACACCCATCCCCCAGCCTACACATCAGGCTACTACACTTCTCTCTTGATTACAAAGTTTAAAAGTTGGTATTTTTAAACAAAAAATATTTTTCAAAGTTTTCTTAAAAATGCTAAGTTAGAAAATTTAAAATTGGATCAAAAATAACAAGTTAGATTTACAAGAACAGAAAGCAAAGTAAAGTTGAGCTGCAATGAATATAAATCAAGTTAACTACTTGAAGATGCATTTATATGTTTACTTAACTAATTAACAAATGTTAAATTATGTGAATAGTTTCAAGCAAAGAATCTAAACACTATCTAGACCCACCACCCAGATGCTATAGATTTGACTTTTTTATATTATGTTTTCCATTTCAATTTTTCTATATTTCTAAGAAATTGAGTTTTTGCCACAAATTCAAATTTTCTAATCCCCATATCTTAGCGATATTTTGATATTTTGATATTTTGATATTTTTGATATTTTGATATTTTTGATATTTTTGATATTTTTGATATTTGATATTTTGATATTTAAAACTTATACTATTTGATCCAAAAGAATTTAAAGTTTAAAATATCAAAGGTCTTTGACGTCGGGTTGCAAATATATAGGGATTAAGAAATCAGAGTATGTAGCAAAACTTTATTCTTTTAATGTGTTTACAAAATTTTAGAATGAAATGGAAGAAATTATTTAGTTATTACTTTTTATCATGGATACACCAAGCTAAAGTTGACTAGACTAATAGGTTCTTTTAACTTATAGGTGTTTAAAAGCGCCATTCTTTATCTATTGGATATTCTTAATCTTTTTTTTCTCAAAATTTTGTGTATTGACAGAACTTTATTATTATTATTATTATAATTATGAATATACCTGTTAGCGGGCGAATACCAGGACCATCTAAAATAATTGAAAAGATTAAAGTTTTAATTATCTACCAAATTAAGGTTATTTTCGCCTAATAATCAAAATAGCTTTTTAAAATTTTATTTTCTTACAAAATTTTTTATTGTATTAGGATTGAACATGTTTTTTTGCTGAAATTTTTATAATGTTATTATTTTAATACAAAAAATCATCTTGGCTAATTTATTTCATGCAATCATGTCTGCTAATTTAAAACCTATACATCGATGGTTTTCAAAGTAATTTCAAATCACAATGCACTTTGCCTCAGATTTTTCAGGGGAAAAAGTTAGATACATGCATTCTGTTCAGCATGCCAGATGCATGCTGGCTCAAAACATCGGAAATCGGCATGTTACTTATCAAGTATATTTTTTGGGGTCAAGAAATCTATTTATTGGGTAAAAAATGGGATGCATGCATTCTGTTCAGTATGCTGGCTAAAAAAATTGAAAATTTACATGTCACATATCAAAATACATATTTTTGGGGTCAGAAAATCAATTTCACCAATACAACTAGTGGTTTAGTGTAAAATCGGGAAAATATGGGCAGATGTTCTTTATACCCCTCTAAGTATATTGATGAAGAAAAAAAGGTGGGTTCAGTGAAGCTTTTTTTTGCAACCACTTTCAAGTTTTAAAATTTAATTTATAACTTGTGAATTATCCTCCCAAAACAAAACCAAAAAAGTTTTTAAAAAATGAAAAAACAATTTTTTTTCCGATTGCTAAAAATATTACATGAAATTCTTTAATTTTTAATAATTTAAAGTTTCATTGATATGTAAAGATTTAAAAAAACTATACATTATGAACAAATTTTATCGACATATTGGTTACGCTAGTTCTGTAAAAGGAAAAGTGACACAAAAAAACATGTTGGCCAATATATAATACTTTTTATCATTCTAACTTTTTTGCTTAAGTATCCCATTTTGGACGTTAGTGCAAGTTGCAGCGGTACTCTCAAATTTTTTTTCTGATCAAGGGCGCACAAGATATACATCATCTTCTTTCTAAAAGTTGAGTATTTTCAATTGTGGTTTCTTTTAAACTGACTTTCGAGCGTATCTACTTTAGAAACAATGGGTAAATTTTCAGAATTAAACCTTTTTAAGCTAGAGAACGATGATATCTTCCTCATTATTTACAGAATAAAGGTCTCAAAGGTACCATTGTGAATCGATCAGGTCCCTTTTAAAAGTGAAAGTGTATTATGAATATGCAAAGAGTCCCTTTAAGAATTCTAGCCTGTATGATGGAAAAAAAATCTATCTCCTTCCATTAAAGCTTTAAATTGTCTTCCAATAATACAGCTGAAGGTTGGACCAATCAAACCATCTGAACACAAAATTAAAATAATAAAGATAATTTTTTTTAATTTTTTAGATACATTTTATTATTCAAGATAATGAAATATTTGAAGTTTTTAATTGAAAATTTAATTTATAGATTTTGTACACATATTTTTAGATAATAGCGTATACGGTATAGTTTGTTACATGTAATTGTTACATATAGATTTTACAATTTAAAACCTGTTTTTCAGAACAATGGTTCAACAATATTAGCGCGGTTTAACTACTTATTGCTATTCATTAAACCTGGGATCAAATTTAATGAATTGGAGAGGTCGCTGAACCGCTTGATAAAATTCTGAATCAACGATTTAAATTCTCATGAATCTTTAAATTTGAATCTGAGATATTGATTTGAAGCGCTGTTGTGGCTGTAATTTGACCTGGATAAAACTCATTGAATCCGCCGGCCCTGGCTAGCTTGAGGTCACAGAACATTTATTTTTGAGTTTAATATCACCTTGTGTTGGTAATTCAGCAAGTCCTCCAACAAATAAATCTATTTCATCAACAGAACCATAAACTGATTGTATTTTCCTCCATGACGCTGGATCCACTCCTTCAGGGGTTATTTCTAGGCTCTAAAATTTAAAAATGTCATCAAATCAAATCTTTATTTTTTATTGAAAACAAGTGAGGAGGCTTTAGGTCCAAAGTACAGAAAGACAAAGGAGGAAAATCGTCAAAACTCTTAAACGTTTCTATTTAATATATATATGCAATATGCAATCCATAAAGCGGGAGCACGAAGCAATTTTAAATTTAAATGCCGCGTTTGATTAATATTTGTCGTCTTTATGTTTATATTTCTGGTAAATATATAAAATAAAATGAGGATCAAAAGACTGCATATTAATTAATAAATAAAATTACCTCCAATTCCTCTAATCCACAGAGCCGCCTGTCGATGAAAATAAGTCTTTTAATGTTTCTATTCTTTAGGTTTTGTTTTAAAAAAAATCATAATAAATTTTTCTTGTTTTTTAAATGTACTGATAAATTTCAAGTGATCCTCCATTTCTTGGGTGGCATATCACCAAAACAGTATCCTTCAAATTAAATTGTCTTAAATTGACCGACAGAGATACCCTTATTTTTCAAGCTGAAAATTAATTACGAACCATGTGACAGTATTTATAATACAGCTAAAAAAATAAGCAAATCTTCGTCGTCAGTGGTTAGGCAAAGGTTTAAAGGGCACCGCTATGAATCTGATAATCCAATCAATTAATGGTCACTTGAAATTAAGTTGACAGTCCCTTTGAACTCGAATTTTACTTTAACCTGAACTCCTGATACCCTGGAATACCATGATCTCTTCCCCTCTGTATATTAATTGCAGCAATATCATGTCCTCCTCCACCCTCAGTCTATCAAGATTATTATTATTATTATTATTATTATTTAATGTTTGCTACAAACTAAGTAAACACACAGGACCAATCAAGCCATGATTAGCTATCTTTAATGATATTAAAGGATATCAAAGTACTGAGTTCTTAACACAAACTCAGGTTTGTATCCCTATATCGTTGCAAACTGATGTCGTAGACCTTTGATATATCAAAGTATGAATTCTATAAGATTTAATAGTCTAAGTTTTAAATTTCAAAAATTTACATTTTTAGGTTGCAAAGATATAATAGAACATTTTAGTTTGTGGCAAGAACTCAGTTGAGAGTTCCTATACAGGTTAATTCTAAAGACTTAAACGTTTAAGAAAGGGAGAATAATGATGTTTACGTACACGGTACATGTTGTAATGTATTTGAGCAAGTTGGAAAAATTTAACGGGCCGCCGCCGAGCCGGGCCTGAGCAATTACTAACAGTTTTTTGTTTACAATCAAGCTGTCCTTATACGTCACACAGTAAAATGTAAACAAGCCAAGCTCCCTCCCTTAGTTATACTTGCATTGGATCTCTTCCCCTAGTAAATAATTATCAAAAACTTTTGAAAAATATAAAGAATGAAAACTATACAAGTAGCTGTTTGTAAAAACCCATAAAACTGCAAAATGACTTTTAGACCCAAGATTTGACCTAAAATAGTCAAGTAAACATGAAATACAGTAATTGTGCAGTTTCCTTACAACAATTTTACATCATTTGATTTTTAAGCAATTAAATTGCTTTATAAAATCATCGAATAATTTACTTAAATCGAATACTTTACTTAAAAATCGTCTCCTATTCCACAGTTTTATGGATTAACTGTAGATAACAGATTTTTTTTTAAATCGGGAAAATAGCTGATAATTGTAAGATAAAAACCATTTTCATGATTTTTACAATTTGATTTAAAATATAAAATAAACCTTCTCATTGCAGAACAGAAAATGGGTCATCTCGTTGGTGATATGAACGTCTGCATTCTAAAAGAACAATGAATCTAGAAATGTATTGCTCTCACTCTAGAGTATGTGTAAGACAGTATTTAAAGAGATCTTTCGCGAAAAAACGAAATTGAATTCGAAATTAATTTCTACTAATTTCACTTCTATTTTTAACCATTTATTAAATAAAATAAATAAATATTTTATTACTATTATTATTATTATAATTCCTTATACCATAGTATATAAATAGTATATATATATATATCGCCTATATACATCCTATTTACCCCAATATACCCCATATATACCCCTATATACCCCTTATACCCCCTATACATCCATTTTTCACGTACACTTACTTTAAGGATAAAAAATGTCCCCTAAGACCCGTACAGTTTTCCCTCTTAATTTTATTTTAAACCCGCAAACTTCAAAATCTGCAATTATTTTTTATTAACATTTTCTTTAATATGCAAAGAAAAATAAATGCATAAAAAATTAAGATAATGAGATTATAGAGAGTCTAGCATTTATCTCTTTACCACTAAATTGGGTTAAAAGGTTTAAAGGTTTAAAGGTTTAAAAAGTTCAGGTTGGTAAATAAGATTACAATCTATGTTTGAATATATCAGATGACAAATCCTTTCATGACGGTCAAAATATTGAAAAAAATGTGTCACAAAATTTTGAAAATTCACCAATCTATATATAAATTTGCCTTGTCTGTCTGTTTGTCTGGGTGTCTGTTTGTATCCAATAAACGTCAAAACGGCTGAACCGATCAGGCCCAAATTTTGTGTGGGACCTCACGTGTCCCCAGGGAAGGTTTATGAATGATCAAAATTTCAAATATTTGACTCCATCAAAATTCGATTTTTATTAAATTTTTGAAAATTTTGAAAATCCACGATTTTTTGTTAAAATCCGCGAACTTTTTTTTTGTTTTGTTTTACGATGTACATAAAGAGAACATGTTCACAATTGAAATAGAAGATGGGCGCGAAGCGCCCTTAAAAGCCTAGTGAATTAAAAATCTGCAAAATCTTATATTGCTATTGCTATTGGTATTGATTAGAAAGTTTCATCAAAACTAAAGGGCTGAAGATACTTAAATCCCTTTTCTCTATAAATACACTGAGCCGGGAACTTTAGTGATAAATCATAATCCTGATTGGTTGATATCGATGCCCGCAGTGGACACTTTTGGAAGTTTACGCCGACTCAGTTATTAATTTTTATTTATAACCCTGATATAAAATTAAAGATCGTCTTTGCTCTCGTTGTTCCAGAATAATGTAACAAAAATTTCACTGAAAGAGTGAATAAAACTAGGAAATAAAATACACTTTATAGTTTTGCAAACTGTTTTATATATATTTCTTTCTTCAATATTCTAAAGGGAGAACTTAGAAACATAAAAGTTAATTTTGTATCTCTCTCTCTACTCTCTTCTTTCAGGGATTTATTCAGATTTTTCAAAAGGAAGAGACTGCTCCTGTTTCAATTGAAAGGGACTGCTTTTGTTTCAATAGAAAGGGACGCTCCTGTTTCAATTGAAAGGGACTGCTCTTGTTTCAATAGAAAGGGACTGCTCCTGTTTCAATAGAAAGGTATTTTTTCATCAAATAAAAAGTTTTAACATTTCTTTTAAAATTACAAACAATTGAAACTTTTGTGTTGAATATGCAGATTGAACTATACCTGACCTGGCTGTTTACTGAGTCCAATACCTGACATGGCTGTTTACTGAGACCAATACCTGACATGGCTGTTTACTGAGACCAATACCTGACATGGCTGTTTACTGAGACCAATACCTGACATGGCTGTTTACTGAGACCAATACCTGACATGGCTGTTTACTGAGACCAACAAGTTCGTTGGTGAAATTTTCCCCATTATTGTCCGTTGCGAAGGAGGCATTTCCATAAAATTCCCCCAGCTTCCAGGGCTGATTTTTCCCCCTGCATTGAAGTTCTTTTATGCCTGGTTTTAATCAAATTCTTAAATTTCCCCCGCACCGGGATTATACTTATATATTCATTATCTCTCCTGTATAATATTATATTTATATATATAAACCTAAACTTTAAGCAGATTAGATATGGTTTTTGTGTTTTGAATACACAAAAATTAATGTGTACGTTGGGAACCAAGAAATTGTGAAATAATAATAATAATAATAATAGTAATAATAATAATAATACAGGGTGTCCCGATAAACATTGGAATTCAGTGACGAATTCGAGATCGTCTTTTTAAATAATTCTTTGGTTCAGTATAGTGATACCTACTGAGAAAGCTGTAATCTGTAAGAGTTTCGTCTGCTATGTTCACATTTTGTTTGTTTATGGTTTGACTGAATACCGTTGTACTTAGTGAAACAAGAAAATTGCAGAATACAAACAGAGTAAACTTGTCCGTCTCAAATAGATTCTAATACAATAGATGGCAACGTAGAATTTGTACACTCTCAGTACAGTTGTATTCTGTCGTCACAAGTGTCAATTCAGTTTTTGCGTCCGACAAAATTACCAATAATAGTGATAATTTTAGAATAAAGTGATTTTCTTACAGTAAAGTAAGTGCAATTTTATGTGTTTTTTAGTTTCTGTTTTTTCCACTTTTTTATTTAATCTTGGAAAACATTTCAACTAATTTCGTTTTCCTTGTTATATTTGACACTTGTGACGTTGTGTATAATTGGTTCATTTCTCTGTTGCCACCTATTGTACTTGATAATCTATTTGGTCCGTCTTTACTGTTATCTTGCGGAGACATTATAGACATTAGACACATCTTTACAGTCTTTTACCCTTTTCATAAAATAAACTCTAGCAGACATAGGTATTGAAATTAGGTATTACAATGCTAATTCGTAACAAAGACGATATCGAATTCGTCACTGAATTCCCATGTTTTTTGGGACACCCTGTTCGATATTATGAATAAAAATTATATCACAATATTTATTAAAGGGACTGTAAATGAAAAATGAAAGGGGGTATAGGTTGAAATCTGACCTTTTTAGAAGTTCATTGAGACAAAAAAGAGTTCTATCTGACGTTCCTGTCTCGAGAAATCACGAGAAATTGATATAAAACTTGTCAAAATTATACATTACTCCATATATCAGATTTGGTATAATACTCGTAAGTTTTAAACAAACATATTCAGCAAATACGCAACTTTAAACTTAAAACTACGATATCTCAGAGGAGCCTGAAAAACTTAGGTTTGCTCGATCCTATTATTATTTGAATTGGATAATTTTTCATTTTTAATAGATGACATTAATAATATAAATAATACTTCTGTAACACGTGACCAAAACTTCCACCAATGGTGGTACAGTATCAATGTCACGTGTCTCCGTCATTATCACGTGAACAGTATACTGCCTATACCTACAGTCCCTTTAATAAAAAGTTCTGATTTTACATCATCAAAATCATTAAGCTCTACAATTCTGCAGATTACACAATCCCTTCAGTTTAAATTAAACTTAAACTTAAACTTAAATAAAAAAAATATTTGATTTTTCAAATTTCTAGTAAAACTATTAAAAACAATTTTATAACAAAATAAAATGCACACATACAAAGAGAATAGAATATATATTAGAGTGGAATTTAGACAATCCCTCGGTATGATTTTTGTCAGTTCCTTTCAGCCTGAAAGGGAGTTTAAAGTGTACAAATCATGTAAATGTACACAAATTGTATGCAGTAGAGTACATTAATACAGTATGTTCCCTAGACTATCCATTTCAATTTCGAGTTTTTTAAAGCTGTTAATTAAACTTTATAAAATGAATTAGGTGAATAAAAACATCATTTGATTTATAGTTATAACGGAAAATCATCGTTTGTAAAATGAAAGGCATAGAGTCTATGTGAAATGATCATTGGCCAATTATAAAACCAGCCTATTTCATAATTTGGTTTTCTTTTAATATTAATTTTAGATTTTCTATAAAATGATGTTCCAGGGCCCAAAAGGTTATATAGCACAGATATGTGAAGTACACCTGCAGTATTGAAACAGTACAACAAAATGACCGTTTTACACTTTTTTCTAGTAAATTCCACTCTAATATATTCTATTCTCTTTGCACACATAAGATTACTTGAAGGGACAGTAAAGGAAAAATGAAAGGGGGTATAGACTGAAAGCTAATCACTTTAGCTCTCGATCGCGACCCATGAAAGTTTTATCTGATGTTCCTATCTCGAGAAATTGATTTACAACTGTGTCAAATTTAAACGAAAATTAATATATATACAATTTTGTATAAAAGTAGTGGGTTTAAACAGATCATATTCAGCAAATAAGCAACCTATCTGAAAACGATAATATCCCCGAGAAAGCTAATTATTACTTAGGTTTACTCCAATTTTAATTTTATATTTGTTATTTCTATTTTTAATAGATTTAATTCATAATATTATTTACACGTCCGAATTGCTTGACCAGAAAATCCACCAATGACAGTGCAGTAAAGTGGTCACGTGATACAGGCAGAGACACGTGATCAGTATACTGCTCTGCCATTGGTGATAGTTCTGGTCACGTGATTTAAGATTTAGATTTTCTAAATTTTACATATATGAACTTTCGTATGATTTTAACACAGTTTTATATCAATTTCTCGAGATAGTAACATCAGATAAAACTTTCATGGGTCGCGATCAAGAGCTAAAGTGATTAGCTTTCAGCCTATACCCCCTTTCATTTTTCCTTTACTGTCCCTTTTAATGTCGTTTTCTCATTTCACAATTTTATGTATAAAAAAGGTCTAAAAGTTGTAACGATTGATTTAATTATAATTATAAAAAGAAACTCATTTTTATTGATACAAGATCCTACAGCAAAGAATATTAAGCCGTTGCCACAAACTCAAATTTTCCAATCTCTTTATCTTTGCACCTGATGGCGTAAACCTTAGATATTTGAAACTTAGAATTTCTGAAAAATGGGTTGTAAAGTTTGAAGGACTAAAAACCCTTCTCTAACCTCTTCTCTAGATAAAATTTCGTAAACATATTTTTTTTGCAAATTGTTTGTTTACGTGTAAACAATATAAGAGTGCACCCAAAGCTGAAGCGAGGTACATGTCTTGTCTCTATCAGAATATTTTTAGTCCTACTTTTATCTCGCATCATACAATTATCCGTCAAAATTAGCGTGAGAGATTTTATATTTATAAATAAAAAGTTCAACAAAAATGTCTAAAATACGAAAAGCCTACATTTAATGGATACAAATGGGATCGAAAGAATTAAGACTCATTGACTTTTATGCAGGACCTTTAGTTTAACGTGAGTAAGTTTACCCAAGCCTGGTATTTTCTAATCAATTAAGAACACAATGGAATTGTTTACAGGATAAACACAAACTTGTATTTCCTTTCAAAATATTGTGTGACAGATATTAAGTAGGGCTCGGCACGGTCCAAATTTTTATAGCCGTTCAGAAATTAACGATTTGTCAAATCGTAAACGACGAAACCGTTAACAGTTGTTTGTAGTATTTTCGGCGTTTATGGTTTGTCAAAACTAAAAAATTTCCTTAAAAAAATCCGTAACGATTTATCAAATTGGAATTATGGCACAAGCCGTTACCAAATTGCAAAAAAATCTTTAAAAGTTCCATCATATAAATAAGAGGGGGGGGGGCGGAAGACGACATTATCAAAATACATAGGACAATTTTTTTTAACAAGTTTAATAGAATTTAGAAGAAAAAAACGAAATTAACCGTTTTTTAAAAGCACATTCGTTTCGTGTTCGTTCTCAACCGTTGATTTAAAAACAATGGCTAATCCGTTTTATTACCGATTTAAAATTTCACGGTGTTCGCCGTTCGTTAACTAACTCTTCCGTTTATTTTCTAAAACCTCCATTTCGTAGACGGAAATTTTCCCAGCCCTATTTAAAGGGACTGTAAGCGTAATTTTAAGTAACCATTCATGGAAAGATAGCAATGCCTGATTCACAACGGTGTTTTTAAAATCTTTATCTGATTAATAATATGAAAGTTGTTGTCGTTTTTCTAAGTTAAAAAGTGTTTATTTCTGATATATGTTTTCCTGCAGTAGAATGCACAAGTCATTGTTCTAGAAAAATCACAATTGATGATTATTTGTTTGGAAAATTATAAACATTGATAAATCTAATAAATATTTAATCAGAAAAAGCATTTAAGGGTACCATTGTAAATCGGGCATTGCCAGACCTATCAATTGAGAATCACTATAAATTACAAGTACTTTAAAAGATATTTTTGAAGACCTAAATGATCGATTCTCGCTTTTTCTTAAAATAACTCTGAAGTAAATTTTAATCTCTTTGAAGGATTGTTTAATGCCTAATTTGGAATGTTTCACTTTGAGATATGAAATTGTGCAAAAGCCATAGTCCAAAATCGTCTAGTCGGCGGTTATTTTTAAACAATTTTGGTTCAATTTAATCTTTTACAAACTCTGAAACACTGTACCGTACTTCCAACACACGTTTACCCAGTCCTAGGGGAATAAGCATTTACTGCACCTACTGTACATTATTGCAAGCATAATGTTTTGACCCGTCACGCCTGCCTGGATTAGTTGGCTGCAAAAATTATAGATTGGTCGGAAATATTCCGATATCTGCCTTGAAAGAAAGACTTTTATAGTTGCAGGGATTCATGAATATAAGGAAACAGACAGTATAGATTTCGTACAGTCGTCTCTGAAGTCTCATTCTTTGTGGGTAACCCTAGAACTAGAAGGAAATAATTTATTTGGTGTATACTTTCCCGTTTTGTTTTCTATGGTCCATGACTGTATGTGTACTGTGTAGCTTACTCTAGGCAAGGGTGTAATGCAAGGAAAGTTATTTCAGTGGTGTACGAATTTTTTGTACTGTCTTTGGGCTCTAATGTAAACACAAGAGTAGGGATGTCACAGCCTGACATGGGATCCATCTTTTAGATAAAGGTTGTGGAAAAACCTCTGCATTTTTCAATTTTTTTAATCACTTCCCCTCCAAGTAAATGTTTTCACAGACTACTAAGGAGAAATAAATTCTCCATTGTACCCCCCTCCTCGAATACTGAACGAACACTGATGAATCTATTATTGTTTACAAATTCTGCCCAGAGAGAACTGGTTTCAATATGTACGCAGAGTACACACAACCGCAGTTGACTTTCCTTGCATTACACCCTTGACTCTAGGGGCCTAAATGTCGGTCCGATAGTTGAAAATGTTATTTACTTGAATATACTCTGCACAAGAGAGTGTCCAAATCTAAATGCTGCAGTTGCAAAGGAATTGATTATACCAGGATCTGTCTGATCAATCAATTTTATCAGAAATGCTATGGATTAAAATTTGTTGGAAATTATCAATTAGCTAAATAATCAATTTTGTAAGAAATGATCAATGCCATTGATGAAAATCAATCATGCTCGAATTGCAAAATTTGCTACAAATTGCTGATCAATTAATTTTATCAGAATTGATCAATGCTATTACAAGAAATCAGTCATGTTGGAATTCCTCAATTTGCTATTGATTGCTGATCAATTAAATTTATATGAAATGATAAATGCTATTGATGAAAATCAATCATGTTGGAATTCATTAATGTTCTATTGATTTTTGCTAAATCAATGTTATTAAGAATTTTTTTAGATCTAAATATTTATTAACTATGTCATGTTATATGTTTGAATCATTCATTATCGTAGAAAACAAATAGATTTTTAAATTACAAACAAATGTTATTAAGAATGATAAACACTATTGCAAGAAATTAATTATTTTGGAAATTACCAATATTCTATTGATTGTTGATCTTAATCAAAACTTTATAAAAAAAATTCTGAAAAATTTCCTGAGGATCATATTTGCTCGCATCTAGATTTATATCATACTGTTCCATACCACTTTTTCCGATCACCTAAACAGAAAATATTATTAATCTTTAGTTTGTAGAATTTTTACATCAGGGGGCCAGATTTAATGAACAGGGATACATAGATGAGCTGAGTACACACGCTAAACCACTTCTCTTGTGCATTTGTGGTTCAACGAAAATTTTATTTTGAGAAGAAATCAATAATCATTGGAGTACATAAACTACTTCTTTCAGGGACCCATATCTTAAAGGAGACCCACAATATTATCTCATCCGAGACCCCCAGATTTTCATTGGAGACTCCAAGTTTATCATTTAAGACTCCATGATATTTATGGTAGACCCCAAGCTTTTCATCAGAGACCCCCAGATATTCGTTGGAGTCCCCCATTTGTTCATTGTTGACCCCCAGGTATTCATTGGAGACTCCAAGCTTTTCATTGGAGACCACCAAATATTGTTTGGATACCCCAATATTTTCATCACAGACCACCAGATTCTCATCGGAGACCCCAATTTTATCCACAAACCCTTTTTTTGAACAGCGTGATCATAAATTGCTATCTTCCTCCAGCTTAAACATAAAATGCAATCTCCCTGAAAAATTTACACATACATTGCAATCTTCATAAACAATTTACACATAAATTGCAATCTTCCTGAATAATTTACACATAAATTGCAATCTCCCTGAACTATTTACACATAAATTGTAATCTTCCTAAATAATTTACATATAAATTGCAACCTTCCTGAACGATTTACACATAAATTGCAATCTTCCTGAATAATTTACACATAAATTGCAATTTCCCTGAACAATTTACACATAAATTGCAACCTTCCTTGACAATTTACAAATAAATTGCAATCTTCCTGAATTATTTACACATAAGTTGCAATCTTCCTGAATAATTTACACATAAATTGCAACCTTTCTGAAATATTTTATTTCCATGTAAACAAGTTTTCCCGATAAAAACTGTTAAAACTGGGATTGATCTAAGATTAATGATAATTGATTGGTTGAATATTAAAGGGATTGTTAAAGGGATTGTAAGCTTAATTTCAATTAATTTCAATCAATTAATCCATGCAAAAATGACAATGCCCGATATCTTAGACCCTCGAAACCTTAAATCGGATCAAAAATGTAAAAGACAGGCCGGCGCTTTTTCGACTCGAAAAGTGTTTAATTATGATAATTTCTCCATTGCTTCTAATAATCAAGAAATGCACACATTTGCAGATAACTCGCAAATACACAGTTCAAAGAAAAAATAACATGGATATATAATTCATACTTGATCAATCAAAGCTTATCGTCGTAAATCAGCCATTGCTGTCTTTGTATGGAATGTCATTTGAAAGTACGCTTACAGTCCCTTTAAACCATGGATATTCCCTCATTCTTCTTGGAAGAGGATGGATGAGAACCTGGAGATTATGAACAGTGTGGCTCAAGAGGATAGATGAGATCCTGGAGATTATGGACAGTGTGGCTCAAGAGGATAGATGAGATCCTGGAGATTATGGACAGTGTGGCTCAA